TCAAAAGTATAAAACAATGTCATTTTTATCAAAATATTTATTTAAAAATTATCATAAAAATGTTAACATGTAATAATAGGACAGCTTACATATTGGAGAAAATAATGCAAAAAACATGAATCTGAAAAGGGGTTAATATCCAAAATATATAAGAAACTCACAACTGAATAGTAAAAAGCAAATAACCCAATTAAAAATTGGGTAAAGAACCTCCATAGACATTTCTCCAAAGACAACATAAAAATGGTGAACAGATATATGAAGGTGCTCAATATCATTAGGAAGGAAGGAGGGAAGGAGGGAGGGAGAGAGGGAGGGAGAATGGATGGATCTGTCATCTATTTTAATGCACAAGAGTAAACGTTTATAATTTTTTTAGTGTTTTAAATATACATAGACATAATAACTTATTTATTTATTTACGCAAAGGATTGAATCCAGTGCCTCATACGTTCTAGGCAAGCCATCTACCACTGAGCTACAACTCCAGCCCAAGAAGTATCTGTTTTTCCCAGCAGAGGCCCCCACCTCTCTATCTCTCAGGAAAAAAGAGAATACAACATTTAAACCTTCCCTAATCAGAAAAGCAGAAAACAGCAGGAAAAATCCATAAGCCTACTACCCATTATGAAATTTCTCAAATACTGCATCTTATATTGCAATATGTATCAGAATGATCTGAAGACTAATAGAAACATTTAAATTCATACAGTGTGGATGAAACCCAGGAATATGCACCTGTAACAGGTACTTCTGGTGATTTTGATTAAAAATAAAAGCAAACCCATACTTTAAGAAACTATCCTAGAGTATTAGAATTACTGCTTAACTCCTCTGCTTTCCTAAGAACCATCAATGTATCTTTAACCTGAACATCAATCCCCTTATATTGTCCATAAGACCCTTCACCATCTGGCCCACATCTGTATAACTTCATTTCCACTGCGACATCCATCTCTGGTGTAGTCACCCTACACCATTGTAGGCCTGGCTTCCCACCCCAAGTGACCAAACTCTGAGCCTCAGATAATTTTTCTATAAGAAACAGAGATGAAAATACTCACTCTTAGCTATTGCACTGGAATGGGTAGCATTTGGATAATAAATGTGTTTGATTTCTTCCCCCTATAAAACACTCACTCTTCGCCCAAAAAGAGGAGTAGCCTGTCCAAAATAATATGAACTTCTTACAGATACACAATAACCTATAATAAGGATTTTATCTTCTCAACAGATAAGCTGTAAGCCCGACTGGGGGAGAATTTAGGAGTAGATGCTTAAGAAGCTACATTAAAACAAAATGCTATACTGAAATTCTAAAGTTATATTACCACAAATTTTAGTGAATGATCATGTTGCTTAGTATTTTGATGCCAAAAGGAGAAAACCCAACCACTGATATTTAGAAAACGGGTTGCTGGACAACCAGTTAACTCATCCACAGATGTTATGTGTGAGGGAGGCAGGCAGGCAGGTAGAGAGGATCAAGTTGACTATTCTAGCACATTTTCAAAAACTTCATGCATTTACTATGTATAAAGACACTTCATAAAACTACATATACAGTATAATTCTTCTTTCCAAGAAGCTTAATCCAGTTGAGGAAAATACTGATAAATGCTTTCTTCCATAGACAAAACAGCAATGGCCGCTATCATCCAAACTTCATCTTATTTATTCTCTTTAGAAAGCAGGAGGTACGAAGTTAAAAATAGGTATAATTTGGAAGACAGATGCATTTTTTAACAAATATCATCCCCACACAAAGGATTTAAAGAAACATTAGTTTTTAAAAAAATATTTATTTTTCAGTTTTTAGGTGGACACAATCTTTGTTTTTATGTGGTGCTGAGAATCAAACCCAGTTCCTCACACATGCTAGGCAAGCACGCTACCATTTCAGCCACATCCCCAGCCCAGTAACATCAGTTTTGATACATTTTCATTACATTCTCCTGAGATCCGCGAGACAGGTATTATTCCCAATTTTATAGACAAAGCAGCTGAGGCTCACCTGTTACATTGGCCTTTTTTCAAGTTCCCAAAGCTTAGAAGTGGTTGTGCTGGGAACTAAACCTGAGTTAACTAAGGTCCATTTTCCTTTCCTAGAATTGCAATTTAAGTATTCCTCTACTCTAGGTTACACATTTTTATGATGTCTCTGTCATAAAACAAAAATCTTTAACAGCCTAAATGACAAAGTGGGGGGAAAGTAAGTTATGAACAAGCGTCAGGAAGTACAGAGGGCCAAACGAAGTCAACAGATGGAACCTTAACACAAGCAAAATTGAGAGTGCAGTTTTCTGTTCCTGAACCTGCTTGCCAAGCACCCTTCACATATTACTATTTGATTCTCTCTCGAGCCTGTGGCAGTGGGAAAACTATCATTTAAAAAAAAAAAAAAAAACCTCTTAGCAGTAATACAAGACCTGATGTTCTCTCCTCAAAACCCCAATTACCAGCCAGGCATGGTGGCACATAATTATAATTATAGATCAGGAGGCTGAGGCAGGAGGTTCGTTTGAGCTTAGAAGTTCGAGGTCAGCCTGGGCAACATGTGTGAGACAGCAACTCAAAAAAAAAAAAATTTTTTTTTAATTTTATCTACCCTCTCAGAATAATCAAAGCAACCATTTGAATATTAAATAATTAAAAATTTAGGAAAATGTCCATGTTATATAAAAAATATACAGGATAATCCCATTGTGTAAAATAACACCAAGAGTATGTTTTATGCACATTCAGACATGTCAATAAGCACAGATTTCAATAGTACATATACCAAACTAAATAATGGTTAGCTCTGAGGTATCCATTCAAATCAAATGGACAGGGAGATTTTTGACTTCTTTATTTTTTTACATGGTAATATTATGGGTAATTTTCACCTTGTTTCAGTAAAATCATATTCTACTTTTTAGTGCTTTTTAGAATGCAGCCAAGAAAGAGTTTGCATCTTGCATCTTGAGTTAGGGATGTTACTCACCTGTGTCTGAAGCTTCATACTGATTCAAACATCTGGAGGTATGTATGGATCTGAGTCCTAGGTTTGCAAGTCTGATATACCTAAGACTTTGTTTTTGATGATGTGATTTCCTATAAATATCACAGGTCTGTCATGAATGTGAAAAGTACAAATATATATGTGGAAATATTTTACTAAACTATGCAACAGGTGAGATCCTCTTCCTTAAGTCTTAAGGTATTTTTGGTCAGGCAAGGAGTTGTAAAAAGTCACAAATTTAAAGAACATAAAAGTTGTATTTTACTGCAGAATGTTAGGAACAGCTCAATTCCACAGCCTAAATTCCAAAAAAATGCAAATCTGAGAAGAGAAGTTCCTGGAATATAATATAAGACTTAGGTAGAGAGGGTGGTGATTCCACGCTATTTGGGGAATTCCCAAATTGGCTTTATTTGGCCAGGAAATCAACAACTTAAGAACTGCTTTCCAAAAGGCCATTTTGGGGGGCTGGGGATGTGGCTCAAGCGGTAACGCGCTCGCCTGGCATGTGTGTGGCCTGGGTTCGATCCTCAGTACCACATACAAACAAAGATGTTGTGTCCGCCGGGGGGAAAAAAAAAAAAAAAAAAAATTATATATATATATATATATATATATATATATATACAAGGCCATTTTGGATATTTACACAGCAAACCTTTAACAGTGACATCTGTGTTTTTGGAAATTTGATGGAATATTTTAATGGGTCTTAACCAAATTAATACCCAAACTCTTTTTTAAAAAAAAAATCCATAATAATGAAGCAATCCAACTAAAACTAATAGCACTCATGCCTACATCAGGAATAAGGTTTCTAGACCACCCAATTCTAGACCAGCTCAATTCTGAAAGTAAAATAAACTTCATCTTGAAGTTTGTAGAAAATAACCCTCAAAAGTGAAATACTGGTATTCAATTCTAAAAACAGGATATTTTCACTGAGGCAAAAATAACTAGCCATTTATTTTCATGAGAAATATACATACAAGGCATACTCAACAGCAGGGTCACAAATGATTGCCCCTCTCACAAAAGTAAACTGTGTCTTAATTAAGAAGAGAAATAATTTATCATCATCTTTTTAAAAAACCTAAGTTGCAATATTGATTACTAAAAATTATACCACAGAAATACTAACACCAAAAGGGTTATTTTAGTCAATAATTTTGAGTCTGTCTTTAATCCCTTTTATTGCTTATTGGTTAACAATCGGAGTCCTTCAGCTGAAACTGAAGGGTTTTCTTGGAATTCTGTATAGAATTATACCATCTTTGGAGAAAACACTCTAACAAAAAATACTAAGAAATCAAATGGTCTAGATTTCACAAGTTTTTTTAAAGGTAAGCTAAGTCTTATATTTCAGAACAATTGCTATTATAACAAATTTTTATTTTTTCATTCATAAAAACAGTCCATGGCATTCATAAAACAGGGTGGTAGAAGAAATTAAGAGATACACTTTTTAGGTGGATTCTTTATGTTTAAGAACAGGTGAGTAGGCAGTAATTTAATACAGATGGAAAACAAATACAATCCATATAAAAACAAGATTTGAATGGAGGTGGGAGAGAAGATATACCAACCAAAGTAAATTTAGAACTTTCATGCATGCAACTCAACATCTGAATTTTCTTTACTTAAAAACCAAACTAAGTGCTTTAGTAGGTGTTTTACTGTAAAGAAAGCTACAAAAGTATTTTTAAAAGGTCAGCCTTGCATATACTACACTAACACGTACCAAAAAAAAAAAACAAAGAGAGAAAGGGAGAGGAGAAATTAATAAGCCTCAGCTACACCTAAGCTACTCACAAGTTTTCTCTTACATAGACAGACACAGAAAAAAAACAACTTTACAGGCTTTGCTTCAAGGTACAATACCTTAGATTTCTCACTTGAGTGTTTCCTGCTCATGCTCTTTTCAGTATAAACAAATATGGTTTATGTGGTGGAACATATACTTGAAGAATTCCTTAAAAAAGAATCACAAGTTTCATTTTATATATACAACAAATTTTTAATTATGTACTGAAAATAAATTACAGGAAATAACTTTAAAATGCAACAGAGGACAAGTCACAATAAACATTCCCATTGAATTCCCTGGGGTGGGGTGTGGGGTGAGAATTGCAGTGCTCAAGGAAGATAAATATCACAAATATATCAAAAACTTCAAATTGTCTATGCATTCACACACTGACGTGAGCCACAAACATTCCTTTCACAGAAACTGTACTTATTAGCCTACCACAGAACCAGATTTTGCCATAAACTACAAAACTTTTAATACAAAATCGTATTTATATATTTATAATTCATATACATGCCCTATCTGTGATTTTAGAAAATAAAAGCTACACACTGTACAGACACTCTTAACTCATAGCTGTAGGCAACATTTTTGGATGGAATTTCTCCCCCAATAAAATTAATGGCATATTTTATGTACATGAAGGCTAAACTGCAAAAAGACAGTTCAGTTTCCCAGATATGCATCTCCTTTTAGGGCAGGTTTATAAATTTAAAAAGGCAAGACAAATGTACACCTCAGAATAACTTTCTTAGCTACAAGAGTTGCCATGTAATTTTTGTGAAATTTCCGATACATGCATTTATGTAATACTGGTATTGAAGGCAGTAAAGCAATATATACTTTTAATGTAGTGGCTCAATAAAGGCTTCATTGTCATTCCGATCTGATTCTTGATACAGTGATTCATAAATTCTTTAAAAATTAAAATTTCAATGGGACACTGTGTTAAAGAGACTCTAAATAGATTTCTTAAAACATTTCCCTGAAATATCCTTTTACATAAGACAAATTTCACTAACATTAGATTAAGTAAAAAGAAGAAAAAAAAAGAACTAAACATGGCACAAATGTGCATGATATAATAATGCTCCTCACCCAATCTCCAGGTCTTAGGAGCCTTTAAATGAATGCTTAAAACCAACAAACAATTTTCACACTCTGTGGCAGCCATCTGTGAAGCCAGTTATACTAAACTACTTCTACAGTTGATTGTAAACTTTGGTTTATTTTTATTTGAGTTCTCATTGTACAGCAAGCATGAAAAAAGGGAGAGTAGAGTCCATGAGGAGATGAACTGTCAGTCTGTCTTTAATCTGGCATGATGAGACACCTGGTCAGTCAGGCCTGCTTTGATAGAGTTTGTTACAGACTGCCTTATGTTTTCCTCCATCAAATTATCACCCAGGGGCTTCAATACCTGTGGTATGAGAAATGTGCAAAACAAACAAAACATGAGGTAAAAAAAGAGTTACATATAAAAATAGATATAAAAATTCAATTCAAAGCAATGACAAAAATAACCAGGAATGTGAGAAATAAAAAGATGTTTCTCCCAAAAAAAAGTTATGATGATACAAGTAAAGCATTTAGACATTTTATAATGCAACAAAAATTACTTTCCTCTTATTCAAACCATTTACAAATCCTATGAGATGGATGTGCAATTCCATACCCTATATGCAGCATCAAATCTGGTATGTATACAGCATTTATGCAGACCGGCCCAGACGGTCCTGCTTATTGTCCTACATGTGTGAGTGTGAACACTTCAGATAGAGAAAAAAGTTAAAAATACTGTCTAATTTTTCTTCTTGTTATTGTTGGATGACAGTCTCTGTCGCTGTGCTGATGAAAGAGCACGATGAACCATTCGACGTCTAGTAACTTCAAACAGTTTGGAAAACACCTAAAACATGGAGTGATTTGTTAGGAGAATGACTCAAGAGTGCCTTGATGCTAAAGAGTTTAAGACTACAAGAATTTGAGACTGTAGGTTTCTCACCTTCCTGGGACTCCTCTGAAGCAAAAGAAAAGAGAAATGCAATACATTTTAGACAAGGTTTGTTGACATAACACAGATCTTCTCTGACTAGTGAGCACCTTACCTCAACAATACTATACTGAAAATAATTTTTGCACATCATTTAATTGTTTTGTAATATGGCACCTGTAAAATCCTATAATCAATGCTAGACAGATAAGTGTTTTTTAAAAAGACAACGTGAAATTACTGAAATTCATGTTGCAGAAAATCAGTAATGATTCAAAATGATAAGTAGATCACACTCTTATAAAAAGTGACGTGGTGATAGCTTTTAATCCATCTTCTATTAGCAATTATCAAAGGACCATGAAGTAGTAAGATTTATAAAGAAATAAAATTCTAAAATTTAACAAATATCCAAACACAAATAGAATACTTTTCTAAAGAGAAAAGGCAAAACCCAAATTAACACACTATTACAAGAAAAGTCAACATCTAATCAACTTTTTTCAAAAAATGGTCTGCTTCTTCAGTCTTTAAAGCCAAAACAAACATGCACCTGCAAATCCTAAATCTTTAAATAGGTTCAACACCTTACTGGCCCAGAAGGAGCATGAAAATGCTCCTTCACATCATTCATTGATAATAACCTCAGCTTTTATTCTGGTCCTTGACATGATTTTCAGGTATCTCATGATGATCATTTTAATGACATCCTTAAGGACAATTATCTTTACACAGGCAAATCCAACATACAGGTGGCAGATATATAAAAACGCACTCCTTAGTAGATACTTGCTGGACAAGAGTTCACAGCCTGACTTTGAATTGTAATTTGAGGTAAAAGATTATGACTGAAGTTGGTTTCTCAGCTCATGGTTGCTTTACTTTGTCCTTTAGTATTTCCATGGTACAGAAGTCAAAGTTTCTTTGGAAAAAACTCTCTGTGGGATTGCTTCTTGTAGTACATCAATAAATCACCACTTTCTTCATGGAAGGCAATGACAGGTGTCTGTCATCCAATGTTTTTCCTGCACTGCTTCTTGCTGGTGTAAGAAACTTCTTTTTCTTTCCAAAAGCATGACTATACTTCCAAACTTCTTTTCCTTACCTTTAAAACTATTCATTGATTATATTTTATTTTCTCAACAAAAATATATTATTAGAGATCCTGGTCCTACCGACTGACGGTAAAATCAGGCCTATGACTAACTAAGAATCTATCCTGAGAATATTACAGATTTAAGCTAACCAAAATACATTATGACTTTAAAGAAAAATAAATTTTTAATTAGTACATTCTGTATCCAAACAAAACATAAAATATATTTTTATCAACGGAAAGTAGTTGTGTTGATATGTAAACACTGCAGGGGAGGGGTGGGGAATAAAGAGAGTCATGGGGAAAATGAGATTAGTCACTGAAAAACCAAAAGATAGATACCAACCTGTTCCCATAGTGTTTCAGCAATCTGATCAATCATTGTTCCAATTTCTCTGAACTCCCCAGAGTATTTAACATATGCCCAAGTACAAAGGGATGTCAGTGCTAACCCCATGACAAGGTTACACAAGACAGCTATAGAGTTCAGGCCAATGAAGCCAGTCAGTCCTGAGATTATATACATAGCAAACATGACCGCAAACAGTGTGGCAGGAGTACGAGCAGCATAGAAGATATTTTTGCCATCATTGTGCTTTATAAAATTTGCATAGGTTTCTTCAATTTCAGCTTCAAGCTGGTCCTGATAACGACGGCAGAACTCATCTCCACCCATTTTTTTCACAGAACGAAATTGTTTAAGTGCTACTTCCTTGAGATCCAAGTGTTTTCGCTCCAGATCTGAAGGTGCAATGTAAGGCTTGTCACCACCACATACCTGTACAGACAGAATTACAGTAGGAGAGATTACATGCCAGAAATAATTAACACTTGAAGGAAGTTCCCTGCTCATAGTTTTAACCAAACCACTTACATGATTTACTTTTAAATTTGTATGTAATACTTTGCAGATTAATATAACCTATTGTTTCTTACAGGTTTAACTAACTCAAGTAATTTTCCAAATATGAATAATACTACTAAAACTGAAGTAAAAAAATTTTACACTACACTTGATACCTGACTTCACCTGACCCACTAATACATCAGGTGGCTGACAAGAGTGGATAAAAGACACAGAACAAGCTTAGGGCAGAAGTTGCTACTAGCCTTAAGCCAATGTTAACTTCTATCACAGGCTAAGAACAGTGCTCTAAATCACAAGCCAGAAAACATTTTAGTAGAGGTTATGCAATACCTTACCACCTGAATTCTAATCATGTGAATTATTCTCTTAGTTTATTTCCAACAGAGATTATAAAGGGGGATTGTGAAACAATATAACAATATGTAAGGAACAGTAATTGGCTCCATTACTTTAAATATAAAAGTCTCCTATCCCCCTAGTATCAAATTTAAATTTTAGTTACAAACCTGTTCCATGCTTTTGCAATAGAGATCTCTTGCTCCTGCTACAGCAGCAAGATTATTAGCTTCAGCTGTTGCCTAAAAAAATAAAATTTAATGCACAATTATTGTTCAAAAAATACCCTATGACTCTACAAAATCTGATTAACATAATAAATTATATACAGTGAACAAGTCTAAATTGAACCATAAAAAATATCAACTTAAAGTTTTCCTTTCCTTTAGGAGAGTATATCAGTAGCTTATGATATAGATTTTTAAAAGGATAGTTGCCTAAATTTATTTTGCTTAGATTCATGCTTAAAGAGGTTTTCAGAAAGTACCATGTGTTATGAAATGGACAGATACAGATATAATCTTAAAATGTGCTAGATGTAAGGAATCATGATTTCCTTCCTTACATATAGTTCTTTCATAATCAGATTCACACAAGACATATTTTCAAACCTATAAAACTGCTTACTACATTAATTTTACTAGAAAATACTATTTAATCCACTATAAAACTGAGAAGCTGCCCAAAGTAGTAAGTCTTAAAAAAACAGAACCTGAATTAAACAATACTAATTCATAATAAAAGAACATAATTTAAAGTGTGTGGAGGGGGGAGCCTATTCACTAGAAGCAGCTCTAAATCAATAGCAAATGAAAATAAGCATTTTTTCAAACAATCTTTGTCAAAGACTCAAAGAACAGAAGTAGCTTAGTTCAGAAAGGCCCACATTAAACCATCTAATGCAATAGAAATGTTCCTACACTAAGTATCTGAAGAGAAGGTATAAAGGGCTTTATTTCTATTAGCCTACACATGGCTCAAGGTCTGCAATATGCAGTTACAAAAAAAAATCATATAAAGACTTTAGAATTCATGACACATACTGCCTTAAATATATAAAATGTATTTCCATGCAAAAAAGAACATTCCCCACATTGCCATTCCCAGAATTTCTCTTTAAAGCAAAGACTTTTCTTCTCATAAATAAGGATATATACAACCTCCTGCCCCTTCCCCCAACGCCTTATACATACACACAGTGTCTTAATCTCTCTCTACCTGAAGCATGGACTTTGGATGTGGAAGTTCCTCTCCTTGATAAATTTTAATGTAAGCCTAAAAAGACATAAGATTCATTATACTGTAGGTTACACAATTTGATTTGACATCTCCAAAGAAAATTTGCACCATTAAAAGGAAATATACTCTCATTTCAACAAAATTAATCACATTCTCAAAACTATTAAATACATGCAGCTAAATAACACCTGGAAGAAATGTTGCTACCTGTACTTTGAACTTGTATAAGTTGTATCTCATATTTAAAAGTTTTATACATAAAATGCCATTGCTTAATGAAAAAAAAAATCTATAATTCTCCCTGTCAATCTTTTTTTTTTTTTTTTGGTAGTGCTAGGGATTGAACCCAGGGCCTTGTGCATGGAAGGCAAGCACTCTACCAAATGAGCTATATCCCCAGTCCTACTGTCAATTTTTCAAATAAACATGTTAGAAAATATTTTAACCCAGTATTTGACTAACTTAAATTTTATCTCAGCTTAAGAAGAAAAAAAAAAACCTAATAAGAAAAAATGTTCTGATGTCCATACAGGTGTCTTTCATCTCAACTTTCTACTGACTCAATATTAATCTATAACTAAACAAATACAGTATGAAAATGATCAGGCATTCAATAAGTGAACAAGAATACATTCTTAGTTAACTATTCCTTCCCACCTACCTATAATGACCAATAATAGTACAACCCTCTACAATGGTCTTGTCCTGGCAGGCAAACTATAAGAGCTAAAGAATAACTGAGGGAGAGGGAAAAACCAATGAAAAAATCATTTGAACTCAAAAATCAGTAATAGATACTTTCAGATGCTCTTCTTGAGTCCTCAGAATTCTGAGAGAATGCTTTTTTGAAGAATTCAGAATACAGAATTATGTTTCCAATCCCTATTGTCACTCACAAATGACAAAGCAGTATTTCAGTATAATAAATGGCTCTTCTCTCCATGTCAGACGGAGGAAAAGTAGAATAATTCTGTGAACAAACAAAATCATTTTCTAGAAGATACAAGTAGTCTGTTACAATCTCTTAAGTACCCTTAAATGTCGATACACCCAGAGGCCCAAATATGGGTTGTTTTTGTTGTTGTTTTAAAGTAAAGGTTAAGAAACTTCTTATATATACAGATGAGTTCTAAGTTGGCTACATTTCTATCCTAGATAGTCATTCAATTTAAGAGTTTGCCTACCTTAAAATACTCTACAAGATCTCTACAAGTGACTTTAGATCCACTTATCTCTTTTTCCACCAAATTTTCAGGGGCAAGCAGCAATGGAACCAGATTTTGAAGCTCTCGTTTAAAGTCTTCATCAATATCTGGTGAGCATGAAATTAGTCAACATTTAGTTCAACAAAATAAAAAAAAAATAAGTCTTCAATGATAAGAACTTATAAGGTCTATTTTATAACTTTGTAAGAGGACAAATTATCACTTAAATACAATCATTTTTTTTAAAGTTCATCCAAAAATGCCATATCTCTTAGGAAAAAACAAAAATCCCCACTACCCTAGTACACCGTTTTCCCACACCCCCATAATTCTTTCAGTTCAAATTTGGACTACCAAAACAATATCTTCATCAAGTATTAAAACTAAAGCATCCTTTTCAAGAGGCAAACAATTTAAGAGATCAAATTAAATTTTAATACTATATTTTGTTTTTCTAACCATACTGTAACTTTTGTTAATTCTCAAGCCTTTTGCTATCACACTTAGATTAATTCTAAAGCCACAAAAAATTATGCTATCAACTATGAAACAGAGAAATTTAAGTCTAATTGCATCAATACAATAAAATGGTTAGAGCTTTTTAGCAGATAAAATATTAAAATGTTTTCAGCCTTCCAAATTCTCAAGACTTCAGTCCAGAGCAAAGGAACACATTATAAAATAGGTTAATCAATATGCTAGATGGTTGCAAACAAACCAATAAAAGCTAGAAAGAACACTGAGAGCATTCTAAGCACATTAGTATTAATACATCATGATATCCTTTATCAATAAGACAGGAAATTTAAGGAATCATGTATTTGAAAAAACTTTCAGTCTCTAAAAATGTTTGATTTTAGCAAGAATGGGAATTCCCACCTTTCAATCTCCCATCAAAACTAGGATTAGTTGCAACTTTAAGACCAGGATGTGGCAAAAGGAAGCAACCCAGATTTGAGAAACAATTGTGAATGTGCTTCCTTACATTCTGTAACTCTTCATGTTGATTTTGTTTTACCTGAGGGCAGAAAGAGACAGGGTAATGGTGCAAAGAGAAAAAAAAAATAATGTTAAAAAAGGAAATTTACATGTATACTTGCATGTATATACATTCAACTCAGATGGTTCTAAAGGCCCATTTCTGAACACTTTGATAAGACCTCACATTTCCTTAAAACCAGAAAAGATGTTTCTTCCTAAGTAAGCTGCCTGAGATACCAAAAAATAAATAAATAACAATCAATTATAGTATCTAATGTCTGAATAACAAGTTGTGGCTGTGACTTATAAATAAGATTTACCTTTAAAGTATTTATAATGTCATAATAAAACAAAACAAAATGAAACAAACAAAATACTCATATGCCTTCAAATAAAAGGGTTAGCACCTGACCAGAATAAAAGCCAGGTCAAAAAGCTCCAGTGTAGTCCCAACTACCTTAGAAATGGTATTTTAGGACTCTCTTTATGTGATTATCTATAATTTATGCTAGTTATCAGAGCTTAGAAAAGAGATACTGATATTTATTTTCTGGAAGAAAATCTTAGAAACATTTTGAATAATTATTAACTCATTTAGAGATAGATAATTTACACACTCTTCAAAAGGTTCTTCTCAATGGTCATTGTAACAAAACATGTGCTATTCATAATTAAAACCTGGAAACCACTTAAATCTCCAGCAACAGAATGGAAAAACAGTTGTCTATTCGATTAGTGAAATTCTAAATAGCAATGAAAATAAATGAACTAAACTACATGCAACAACATGTTTTAGTCTCAGAAACAAAATATTAGGCAAAAAAGCTAAATACAAAAGAACATATGTGTAAGTGCTTGTATTCATAAAAAGTACAAAAACAAAGCCTGTTAAAAGGATAATGGTAAGGATTAGGTGGGGGTAAGTAAGTACCTGGAGGTGGTGCTTCTGGGTGTAGGTTTATGGCTATATTCGTTTTATTTTCTACAAAGTTACCAAGCTACACATTATGACCTGAGCAATCTTATGAATACATGCATGGCATCGATAAGAAGTTTAAAATCCTTCTTGCTTTGAGGTACCTAGTTCAGATATAGTCTGTTAATTTCTTATAAACAAACCAGAAAAAAAAGCTGTGATAACTGCAGTTATCTGAAGGAGCTGAAAATCCAAGAGTAAAGAATTGGTCTTAATCTCATTTTAGGAATAAGAAAATCACACTATTCCACCACAAGTCTTAGAATGTGATTGAGAAACCAAGTGCATCATTCCACAGACAATAAAATCTTATTAACCTACTATATTAATAAAGGGATCTCTACACATAGAGATGTTATATATATATATTGTATATGTTAGCAGATGGTAATCTGTAATTATCTGACCTGCAGGTTTCCTAATTATTTTCACAGGAAGGTACTTTAAGGATAAAAGATGATGATCTTGTTGGTGAGGTTATTTTCCAGGAATGGCTTCATGTGGCATATCATAAAGGAGTGGTACTTGGATCCTATACCCAGTTATCAATAATTAGTTAAGTGACCATAAGCAAGTTACTTTTCCAGGCTCCAGTTTCACTGTGTATGTTATGGTTTAGATGTGGTATCCCCTGGAAGTTCACATGTAAGACAATGCAGAAAGGTTTGGAAGAGAAATGATTGGGTTATATCCTAACCTAATCAGTGAATTAATCCCTAATGGGATTAACTGAAGTGGTAGGGTGTGTCTGGAGAGTAAAAGAATTGGGGCATGGCTATAGGGTATATATTTTATATTTGGAGAGTAGAGTCTCTCTGTGCTTCTTGATCACCATGATGTGAGCAGCTTCCCTCCACCACACTCTCCGGCCATGATGTTCAGTATCACCTCAAGCCAAGGAATAGAGAGAACCAGCCTTCTCTGGACTAATACCTCTGAAACCAGGAGCCCTCAAATAAACTCTTCCTTCTCTACAATTGTTCTGATCAGGTCCTTTAGTCACATGCAGCAAAAAAGCTGACTAAAACAATGTACAAGAAAAAAAGGCTGACAAACTATGAAACTAGCCTAGGTATCCATCAATGGATGAATGGATAAAGAAAATGTGGTATATATACACAATGACATTTTATTCAGCCATAAAGAATGGAATGATGTCATTTGCACTGAAAAAAAATGGATCAAACTTGAGAATATTACATTAAGCAAAATAAGCCAAACTTAGAAGGGTTGTTTGTTTTCTCTCATCTGTGGAAGCTAGAAAGGAAAAAGAAAAAAAAAAAAAGGTATAGAACACCGTGTCTCATGAAAACTGAAGGGAAATCAGTAGAGCAAAGAAAAGGGACAGAAGAGAGAAAGGAGAAGAGGAAAAGAAGTACTAGAGAATTTGTATGCATGCACAAATATGTAACAGCAAATCCTACCATTGTGAATAATTATAACGCTCCAATAAAAAATATGAAGGAGGGGCTGGGGTTGTGGCTCAGTGGTAGAGCACTCACCTAGTACATGCAAGGCCCTGGGTTCGATCCTCAGCACCACATAAAAACAAATAAATAAAATAAAGGTATTGTGTCCAACTATAACTAAAAAATATGAAGAAAAAAAGGATGAACTAGATATGTTCAGGGTTAGGGTTAAGGTTAGGGATATGTTTAAAATCCCTTTTCTAGCTCTATATGTTGTCACTCTATCAGAGATATGAGAGGTTCTCATATCATCTGTGTTCAATACGTAAACATTAACCAGCCTGTCTCAAACGTTGAGAAGCTGAGCTGACCAGAAAGAGACTTGTGAATATTCTAAGTGGACCAAAATCTCCTTAAAAAATATTGATCCTCAGGAAGCTAAGGTAGGAGGATACCAAAATTCTTGAGGTTAGCCTGGGCAATTTAGCGAGATCCTGTCTGAAAAAACATCAAAATAAGGCTCAAAAAATACCTTAGTAATAGAGCACTTGCCAGGCATGCTAGGGGTGGAATCCCCAGAATGAATGAAAGGAAGGAAGGATGGAAGAAATGGGGTAAGGGGTAGGAGGAAGGAGGAGAAGGGAGAGGGAGGGGAAGGAAGGAGAGGAAGGAGGAAGGAAAGGGAAAGGAAGAGAAAGGAAGGCGGGGAAGGAGGGAAGGTGGGAAGGTTGATCCTTTGAATATTTACTGAGGGACAATTTGTTCAGGAGAGAAAACACATGTAACCACTTATGTAGAGTTAGTAACTGACAGTGTAAGCACAGTCCAGGCAGCCCAGCCTTTTGCCTGGTGTGGTGCTTATGCTCTCCTCTCCAGGACACAGGGCTTACCTGCAATCTCTTTTCAAGGAATTGTATTCCACCTTCCAAACCATATGAATGTTCATAAGGATAACTCCAATCTCGAATCAAAAACATTAATGTCTACACGCAGAAAAAATACAAAACACTTCTTATAAAATCTTAAGAAAAAACCATAACTTTAATAGTTAACACCTCCTTTCTCCCCTAAACAATTCTTACTAAAAGTGAGTACATGGCTATATTAAGGGCCCACCTAAACCAACAACATACTCAACCCCCATACCAAGTAATCACCTCCACTTGAATTTCACTTCATATAAGGAAAAAAGTCACCCAAGCAATAACATGATTTTTAAAAGGAACAAAAGGCAGAGCAGGGCATTTAGATCATAATTTTAAATCAAGGTTGTATAATTACAAGACCAACCAAATCAAGATGGCTAATTCTACACGGATTATAGATTTGGTGTCAATAGCACTAATTTCACAGAATGATTTTTAATTCATACACTTAAGTTTCTCCACCTCAGCACTACTGACATTTTGGGGCAAATAATCTTTAACTGTGCATGGCTGTCCTGTGCATTACAGGATATTAAACAATATCTCTGGCTTCTATGCACTACACACCAGTAGCATTAACCTCCCCAAAACTGTGACAACAAAAAATGTCTCCAGACATGGGCAAATGTCTACTGGGTGGCAAAATTACCCTAGTTCAGAAAAACTCACAGATAATATATTTATTCATATACATAAAAGGAAGCCATAAACCTGCCCAATCATTTCATAAAAGTGATTGCTTTAACCAGAACAGCAGACAAGAATGAGACACAATTGATGTAAACCCACTAATAATCACTAGCAATGCTATCAGAGGAAGGACTTCACACACTGATGGGCAATCAATCTAGATTTCTTTGTTGTATTTCCTATTCTCCCCCACCTTAACTGCAACTGACCAAACAGTACTAATGGCAACCTGCAAATTGTACTTGCTTCAAAAAATAAAGTAGCTGGATGTGGTGGCACACACTTATATTCCTAGCAGCTTGGGAGGCTAAGGCAGGCAAGTTCAAAGCCAGCCTCAACAAAAGCAAGGTGCTAAGCAACTCAGGGAGACCCTGTCTCTAAATAAAATACAAGATAGGGCTGAGGATGTGGCTCAGTAGCTAAGTATGAGTTCAATCCCCAGTACCAAAAAAAAAAAAAAACTACCTGGAACTTTTTCATATTAAACCAAAATAAAGAGTAACAGGACTAACTTCGACTTATAACATACCACAAAAAAAGAAACTGACCCTTATTTTTGGAAAGAAAAGTTACATTACTCATGGTTATATTAAGGGCCCACCTATTATTATACAATAAGGTTCTTTTTCCCCTCAAAGTTTAATGTCATGATAATTTTGGAGAGAAAAATAAAAAATAAAGGTTGTTTATATACCATTTTTCCAAGCTGGTTAATGTGAGGGAGTCATTTTAAGAGAATTTCACTTTTTACTCTACATAAAACCATATTGTTTGAATTGCTAAAATAAATGTGTATATCTTTGCAAAATAAAATTAAGTTAAAAATAGACCTACAACATTTTCTAGTAGTGTATCACATATAAAAGAAATGTGATATAACTGTCTTATTCAATTTCTCACTGTCTTAAGTTTTGGAATTAAGTAACATCTAAGAGAAGGATTACCCCCTTAATCAAACTAGATTTGTTTGTTCTATTTCCTATTCTGTTGGCCTCAAACTGGTATTAAGTTGGTGACGACATCACCAATATTTAGATTTAACTCCACTGAATTGATTGCTACAAATGAGTCTGTCATAATACCCTGTATCTCCAAAGTTAAAAGCTGAGGTGAGCTTCTCATAAGTCTATCTTATAAAATGATAAAACACTTACTTACCTGAAATGGTTTCTGATAGATTTCTTCCATTGCAAGTCTTCCATACTCTGTAAATAACTGTAAAATCAAGTTATTTAAACTAATGTCCCCAGGGAAATTGACAGAGACATTTATAAAATTGTTCTATATCAGAGGACAAGCTATCAGAACTTTTAATATCATCTGAAAGCTAAGTATTTAATTTTCTAACACACAGGGTATATATTGAAATCACAGGCCTGGCAAAGTGGTGCACACCTATAATCCCAGTGACTCAAGAAGCTGAGGCAGGAGGATCACAAGTTCAAAGCCAGCCTCAGCAAAATCAAGACACTAAGCATCTCAGTGAGACACTGTTTCTAAATAAAATGCAAAATAGGACTGGGGATGTGGCTTAGTGGTTGAGTGACCCTTAGTTCAAACCTCAGTACTCAAAGAAAAAAAATGAAATCACAGGTCAGTTTTAAACCATATAATATTCAACTTTGTTATTACATCATAGGCTTCTAAGTATAAATTCACAATAACATGACAATTCAATTTTAAAACTTTAGCATATATTCTGAGACATACATACTTGTAAGTGTTGAAGATCATCTTCTTGAATATTCTGAGATAAATTATATACCTATTAAAACAAAATTCATTTTGTTTTTATTAGTGTCTTACTTTGAATACCCAGCTTGTGCATAATTTTCCTTGTGAAAATTAAGACTATTTTATGCCTTACCACAAATTAATCACTCAGCCACTATCAGTGGCATACAAAAAGGACTTTCTCTTTTTTCATAATAGTCAAGTGAAAAAATATTAAGGGGGAAGGAGTGGTGGTAAAATATGTGAAAATCAAGAATAAATGCATATACACTGCCTAAATTTGGCAGATACTTGACAAAAAAAGTGTACTGCAATAGCCAAACTATGGAACCAACCTAGATGCCCTTCAAAAGATGAAGGGATAAAGAAAATGAGGGCTGGGGATGTGGCTCAAGCGGTAGTGCGCTCGCCTGGCATGCGTGCGGCCAGGGTTCAATCCTCAGCACCACATACAAAGATGTTGTGTCCACCGAAAACTAAAAATAAATAAATATTTAAAAAAAAAAAAAAGAAAATGAGGTATGCAAACACAATGGAATATTACTCAGCCTTAAAGAAGAATGAAATTATGGCATTTGTCAGTAGATGGTTGAAGCTAGAGAATATCATGCTAAGTGAAATAAGCAAGTCCCCAAAAACCAAAGGCCAAATGTTTTCTCTGATATGTGGATGCTAATGTAAAGTACCTCTGATTTTCCCTGGGAAAACATTAGGCAAAGGAGAGCAAAGGGAGGGGAGGGGGTATTGGAGGAGGAGGGACAGTAGAATGAATCAGACATTATTACCCTATGTACATATATGATTGCATGACCGGTGTAATCTTACATCATGTACAACCAGAAGAATGAGAAGTTATATTCCATTTATGTATGATGTGTCAAAATGCATTCTACATTCACATGTAATTAGAACAAAATTTTAAAAAGTAAAAAAAAAAAATTAAAAATTATATAATAGGTTCTTTTTCTCCTCAAAGTTTCATGTCACGATAACTTAAGAAAGAAAACTAAAAAGTAAAGGTTGTTTATATACCATTTTTCCAAGCTGGTTAATGTGAGGGGCAAAAGTATATAACTGATCAGTGGGAATCTCATCTAACATTGACTCTACTATAGTTCTCTTTTTACTTAAAACTTATCAGTCTAAACAATTTTAACAGAAAAATTTTAGCAGCCTCTGGAAACTAACAAAAGTAACAGTAGGTGGCACTCTTGTCCTGTCCAGAATTTTCTGAAGACTTCCAAAGACAAAACAGACCAGAGCTATAGTAGAGGCTCTAAAGTACACACTCAGGAAAAGAGAAATTGGAGAAAAGATTAGTTAGGTCCAGTCCTTCCAAGACAGATCTTCAGAAGAGAACTCAGGCTATAATTGGAAAAGAATGGGCACCTACTGCTAAGAAATAACTTGTATCTAAGAAAATAAGGGTACTCCAAAGGGAGAAATACAGATAACTTGGAGGTCAAGAACACATATACTTGATGCTTATAAGTTCAGCAAACCTAAAATGATAGTCTCAAGTCAGTCTCAAGTCATAATTAATTCTAAAGAGTATTTTTAAAAGTAATTAATGACTGAGGTAATTAAACTTCAGATTTAAAGTAAAACCTGACAGTGTGACTAATCTATTCTTATCCATCCAGTGGACCTTAGCTTTTAGAAAACAGGTCCAGATCTTTTCATTGTCAGGGCCAGGCAAATAGTAAAGAGAGACAGAGACCTGTTTATCTTAGATCATTAGTACTTAGAATACTACCCTGGATATAATAGGTGCTAACAATTTCTTGAAAGAATAAAAGACAAGGTCAATTTGTTATTGATTTATCAGCTAGAACTTATTTAAGGAAAGAAAACTAACCTCCAAGGTCAGGAAGAAAGCAATAATAGATATCTAATCTTCTTGGTTTTGTAGAGTCTACAAAGCACTTTATGCATTATCTTATTTCGATCTCTTCTTTAACAACAGCCACACATGAGGTAGGCAAAATGGGTAAAACCCTCATTTTGCAGGTAAGAAAGTGGCTATATAGTTTTTAAGTTACTGTCCAAAGACAGATCTTTAAAAAGTTGAATAAACAAGAGAACCCCAAGTTTGAACCCCAATAATAAATATTAAGACACAGAACTCCCTCATTATAACTTAAGGCAAGGTCTACTGCCAGCTTACTTGAGGGGCTACACTATGATAAGGCAAATATGAAGAGATGGCTTCTATACTATTGCAATTGTGCCATTTTGCAAAAGCAGAGAAAAAAAAACAAGAAGGGAAAAAGAGATTTCTGAGGGTCCCAGATAGTATCACTTAGTGAGTAGTAGCCATTATGCCAGCCCTCTAAGGCTAAAAGCCTAGAGTCTACAAAAAATTCAAAGGAACTGGTTTCTGGTATATTGCTTCCTTTGTAACTATCCAAAATACAAAATTTCACATTATAAGCCAGAACAGTAGGCATGGAAATGTAAATAACCAATAAGAAATATCAATGTGCTCTTTAACTTTAATCATATTAAAATTTTTCTTCAATCAAAAGGCATTTTTGAGGAGCAGCTGAAGGTACCAGGATCATATAAACTGATGTCATCACTTAATCCCTATCTCACCTGCACAGAGCTGGTCATAGTGCTCAGAGCAAATACGGTTGCACAGTCTTTAATAGTTGACTGGCTATCAAAGGCACCCTGGGTATCCATTAGCAGCACAGCCACCTAGGAATTCAAAAGTTTATCATACTTAGTAAACAGTCACAAAAAACAAATATAAAAATCATATATTAAATGGTAAATTTCAAAAGCAATAATTAAATCAAGAACACTTATCTCTACACATTTTAACATAATAATCTATACATTAAAGTTGCCAGACATTAAGTTCTGTGTTGCTTTGAATTTTTTTTTTTGGAGGGGGGGGGCGGGGGGGTTGCTGGGGATTGAAACCAGAGCTTTGTGCATGCAAGGCAAGCACTCTACCAAATGAGTTATATCCCCAGCCTGTTCCTTTGATTTTTAACACAGAAAGTAGCTCAAGAAAAAATATAGAAGATTAAAAATAGAAAAGTATAAGTGAAATTTTACTTTTGTTCCATTAGGTCTGTCAATCACAAATACTTCATTCCAAACTTGTATGCCTGTTGTTTCTCTTTCACAACCACCTCGCCATGTAAAGCCGGTCAATGGTTCATTGTTTCCACCAATCCAACTTTGAGAATCCTGTTAAAGTCAAAGATAAATGTAAAATAAAACACACAAAAATCAAAAGAATAAAAAAACTTTAAAAATCACCCATTCCATATTTTACAGATGAGGAAGGTAAGTTCAAAGATAAAATACACTATGTAACATCATCCAAGTAGTTACAAAAGCAGTCCTAAATTCTATGTGGTTTTCTATAGGGATGCAGTTTCCTTCAAACCTGAACCTTCTCAAGTCAGTTCAAATTTCCACTCTGTGGGCTTTTAGGTGAGTGGGGTCACACCCATTTTACCCTCTTCAGCAAGATTTCCTACAATGTTTAAAACAAAAATCAGACACCAGCTATATCTTCTTATACAGAAAAGTAAAACTAAGTTTCAGAAAGAATGACTGTCAAAAAAGAGTATCACTCTCTTAGAAGAGCTTATATTAAATGTTTTTTATGATGCCTTGTTACCTTTAAAACATAATCAACTTTAAAAATGACCAAGTCTTAGGCTGGGGATATAGCTCAGTTGGTAGAGTGCTTGCCTTGCATGCATAAGGCCCTGGATTCAATCCCCAGCACCACCACCAACAAACAAACAAACAAACCAAGTCTTGTTTGCAACCTGATTCAAATGATCCAAGAATAAAAAAGCCTTACTTGAATGAACAGAATCTGAACCCAGACTGCATTATCAGTTGGGATAAATATGATTGTCTGATATGAATGATGTCATGGTTGCATTAAGAAATAGCTAAAAGAATACTTGTATGTTAGATACTCAAGTATTTGTGGTAAAAGGATATGCCTGGCATTTAATATTTCAAAAGGCACATATACACATACAGAAAACAGATGAAAGAAGACCAGCAAAATGTTGATGTATATAATGCTGGGGTTCATAATGCTATCCTCTTTAAACTACAGGCCGTACTACTATAATTAAATATGATGGGGCTGGAGGTACAGCTCACTAGTAGAGTGTTCACCTAATATGTACAGGCACTGGATTCAATCCCCAGCACCATAAATAAATAAGAAATAATATAACAGTTAATAAATCATAAGGTAGTTTATCTAGAAAATTAAATGTGGGACATAAATGAATACCTTTGACAGATGTCAAGATGACTATTTTAGTATACTTAAAAGTCCTTTAATCAACATATCTCCAAGGAAAGATTTGGTTTCAGAAATACTTCTGGTAAGCTTTAATATCTAATCCAAAATAGATTATAAAGTTCAAATTACTGGTAGGAAGATGATGTTTTAAAGCAGGATCGATGAAGGATGAAACAATTCAGGAAGAGCACGTATAAAGTGGCAAAAATAAGTCATCCAGACCATAATGTAATATGACAATACAGCCTTAAACTTTAAACAATCTATAATCATCATTTCACAAAACTCTCATCTCGAGTAGGTTACCAGTCTTATATTATAAGTCATAAAATTCTCTATTTGTTTTCTTCAGGTTCCAATAACTTCAACTAAAGGCCCTCACCTCTTCTGGTTACAGACTGCCACATGGTACAACTCCATTCATAGTACATACAATAGAACCATATTTCAAAGTACCCTTCCTGAGGATAGACAACTGGTAGTCCTGCCCCTGGCCTATATTTTAGATGCTCCAAATTGTTCTTGTACCTCTTTGCTGTACTCTACCCCAGTTCTTGTCACAGCTAATTTTCACAAGAAATGTAATCATGTCATTGTCTTTCTAAAACTCCATCTATCGCTTCCCCATTACCTATAAGACCATCCATCCAGAGACCTGTTTCATAACAATGCCCCTTTAATCTATTTTTTCTCTGTTTCTGATATTCCCAACCAATACTTACATATCCAGTTTCTACCATATCCCTCCACCAAAAAAAGAAGAAGAAAAAAATATCACCATTTCCCAAATGCATACACTGTTCAGCCATCAACACCTTTCTCTGCCTAGATTCAGATTTTTTGACATGGTGGGGGAATCAGATGCCACATGTGAGAACCTACTCATTCTCTCGAAATGTCAAAGAAATCTGGTATTGAATGAACCATTTTTAAAAGGTGTAACCTACACAAATAAGTTAAAAGACACTATCCTCTTAGAGAAGTCTACTTTTAGTCATATTTTACTTATCTTGCTTCTCTATATCTTCTCTAACAAAACTACTTCTCTAAACAAAATTACTTTCCATGACAGCAGTTTTGTTTCATTCTCATGAATTCCCAGCAGGTCAAATAGTGCCTGGTTTGTAGTTAGGTATTCAAAACATTAAAGTTTTGTGCTCCCTTTTGAGCATGGGTAATAGATGCAGAAGAAATATGAGCTTCTTTATTATTCTAGAAACAATATAATTATGTAGACAAAGCAGTAAAAATAAAATTTTTGAACTATGGATGACTAAAGTCATAGGCTAATGTGCTTGTTAACCCCCCTTCAAAAAAAATTTTAAAAGAATTAGTGTCTCATAAAAATCTACTATGTATCATTGCTTCTTAGTAAATGGGAATATTGTAAAATATTCAATGGATTAGTTAATAAAACGATAAAAGAGGGCTGGGGATGTGGCTCAAGTGGTAGCGTGCTCGCCTGGCATGCGTGCGGCCCGGGTTCAATCCTCAGCACCACATACAAAACAAAGATGTTGTGTCCGCTGATAACTAAAAAATAAATATTAAAATTCTCTCTCTCTCTCTCCCCCCTCCCCATTCTCTCTTTAAAAAAAAAAGATAAAAGAAAAGGTAAATCAGAAAACCAAGTTAATCAGATTTTCAAAATTTTGAAATGTTATTTCTCTAACATACTGAACATTAAAGCTTTCATAAAATACATTCATTCATCCATTCACTCACTCATTCAACAAATCTACTGAACCTCTACCAATTGCCAGTCACTGTTCTAGATTCTAGAGATAGAGCAATGAACAAGAACAAAATTTTTCCTCTCCAAGAACATTTTAGTAGGTTCTAGAGACAGTCTCAATGATTATGTCTCAAAAATTACAGACCCCATCTCAAAATTTATTAAATTTATTAAAAGCAAACATTGGAACTTGAAAAACACTAATCTGATTCCATTCACTACTACAGAGAAAAAAAAACCCTCAAAACTCACAGATTTCCAAAAGCTACCTTATTCTTTCAATTTAAAATAGTAGGAAAAGAGGAGATCTTATAGAATAACTCTCAATTGCAAAAGGCAATCTGAAGTCATCTGAACTTCAAATGTAGTCAAATAGTGGAATAAACACAGCACATGCCAAAAAAGGCTTGTCTTTGTAACTTACCAGCAATAAATAAACTCTAAATAGTAAAAAACAAATTCATATTTCACCAAAGGAACAGTAATTGTCTGTAGCAACAAAATGAAACAACAGCTATATAAGCTTTAGACCCAGAGTTTGGTAGCCCAGACAAGCCCAGAACCATCAGAACACACCAGCTTCCCATTTGCTGACTCCTTCCACAACAGCCAGGCTAAAAAAATAAAAGTCCATCCAGAAGCCATAATAACTCAGCTTGGATTGGAGTAAAAGACAAAAAAGTATAAAACTAAGACCCAATTAGCATTACAATAAAGGAGGAGATCATCCCTAGTTAAAAGCCCCACAAATGAAAATCCTAACCTGTATAAAATAAGTACCTATTCAGGAGACAGGTTATTAACACTCAATACCCAAACTGGTGGAGAGAACTAGTATATACATTCTAACCATTGATTGTAGCTTAGTATTTTCAGTTGAATGTGAGAAAACTCAAGTCCCAGAAAAAAAAACATGGAACATTAATTCTGAAATAATTAAAATGTGTCTAATCTTACTGATCTCCCATCCCTGCCTCATGTCCAACTCCTCTTTCCAGGGCTGGACAAATAGTTGGCATTACAACTGACCCGGGTCACAAAGTCAAGCAAAGAACATTTCTAAGAACTTAGAGATTTGCTAAGGAGAAATTTAATAATGTAAGTTCTGCTTAAATGCATCTTTGACCATGAAGACATTATGCTAAGTGAAATAAATCAGACACAAGAAGAGAAATGTTATGTTTTCAGTCATGAGTTGCTTAGAGTGGTCAAGCATACAGACAGAAAGTAGAAGGGTGATTGCCAGGGGCTGAGAGGAGAGGAAAATGGATTTAGCATTTAAATAGTAACACAGCTTTAGTTTGTGAAAATAAAGTCCTCAAGATGAAAGGTGGTTGGTGATAGCTGCACAGAATTAATAAATAAATTTAATGCCTTTGAACTGTATTCTTATAAATGGCTAATGTGGTGAATTTTTGTTTTGCCTATCTTACCACAACTTAAAAACAAAAAGGTGGCCTTGAGGGGTACCAAAACAGAAAAGGGAGACACCACCAGTTATTAAACTGCTATCTAGCCAACTCCAACACCCTCTAACAAGCCTACAATTTTTATTTTCCTTATGGACTTAAAATTCTGATCAAATTTTGTTTGTTTCTCACATTGGTAAAAATGATAGAAAATTCAAAATTTCAGATTATCACATAAGAGTTACAATGCTTCACTTAAAACAAGTGAAATATTCCAAAGTAAATTCAATTGAAATGGTTAAATGAATAAGCTAAACCTCTAGATTAAATCTGGAAGATAGTTCAATGAACTAATGAACCAGTATAAAGTATAATAATGTTTTAAAATAAACAAAATCCACACCTATCAGAATGGCTAAAATTTAAAAGATGACATTTACAAGGAATACAACAACTATAAGTCTCCTATATTGCCTAGTGCAATTGGTGAAACCTCTTTGCAAAAATATTTGGCAGCCACTAGTAGAGCTAAAAAGGTATTTTGTCATATGACCCAAATTTCTACTCCTAGATATAAACCTAACAGAATTGTGTATATTCCCAAGTAATTCTTAAAAATTATATATATATATGAGAATATTCACAACAACTTTATTTAGAAGAAACAAAAACTAGAAACAACTTACATGTATATCAATAGAGGATGAGGTAATTAAATTGTGATATATTCCTCCAATGAAATATCACTTAGCAACAAAAAGACATTTCTGATGCATTTAACAACACAGATAAATCTCTTAGACTTAATGTTAAATAAAAGAAATCAGACACAAAATATACATACTTTTACAAATCATGTCACTTCCAAAATAGACAAAAATAATCTAAGATAATAAAAGTCAGCATAGTGGCCTTTGAGAGCCGGAATAGTAATAACTGGGAGGAGAAATAAGTGAGTCTTTTAAAATGCAGAAAGTGTTTTGTCTTGATTTGAAGTAGTGGTTAAAAAACATACTTATTTAAAAATTAACTGGCTATACTAAGGTTTATGCATTTATTGCATTTAAGTTATAACACAATAAAAAAATAAAATGACCAAGAAGAGGCTTTTTAAGATATTTTCTTCCTCCAAGTACATTTCTTTCTTGGAAAAAGAACATGAAACAAAACAAGTTTTTCGTCATGTATTCACACATTTCCCATAAGTCTTACAACTCAGACACTGTTAGCCTTGGAGAGGAAAGTGAAATTAAATTCAACATCCATAGGGCTGATTCATACATGTTTCAGGTGAGTTATATGTATTGCATATGATGCTTAAATATAGTTTTTATTCCTGCTCTTTGGCAGCATTCTAGAAGCAAGTCCTTAAATAGTAAAGAATAAAAACTACATAAAGGATAGTTTCTTTAAAATATCTTCTGAAAATATGCTATGGAAAAGTCAAAACTCTTATGTACCAAACAAAGCAAAGATCCTTCATTCATTTTGCTTGGAAACTAGTGAACAGCAAGAAACATTACTACATTTGCACTAGCACATGTTCTTCTGTCAAGTCTATTTCAGCTTCTGAAGTAAACAGTGAAAAGCAAACATTTATAAAAGAGCAATATAGTGTAGGAACATCCTATATGGAACCTCTACATACTGGAAATATGTGGGGAAATAATGAAATTGGCCTTGCCACTTAGTTTAAACCTCATTTCTTAAACTAAGCAAGTTAAAATTTAACTAATGCTAATATTAGTAATATTAGCATTAGTAAAATACTAATATTACTATGTAGAATTATTATGAATACTCAATAAAATAATACCTGTTAAGTGCTTAATAATCACAGTACCTAGAATTCAATGAATACTCAAATACTGTTATATGAAAAGACACTGAGGAAGAATATATCTTCATCTATGAAGTCTTCTTGCCGAAAATGAATAAAACCTGATTCTGATCAAGTCTATAGAATCAACACCAATGGGATAAAATTAGCAAATCCAGAAATGTGCAGCTCTATAGCACAATTGGTCTTTTCAACAAATAACTTGCCAAGAAAAATAGAAACAGGGCTTAAAACAATTTAAAAACATCAAGTCATAATGTAGATCTCATCTGGTTGGATTCAAACTGTTAAAACATAAAAAGCATCTGTAGCAAGTAAAAGGTTGTAAACATTTCACAATATTAAAAAATTATTACTACTTTTCTGTATGATGACATTATTATAATGTCCTTTTCTTTAAGAGACACTGAAACATCTACAAATGAAATTATATGCTTGGGATTTACTTCAAAACAACGCATTCAGGTGTGGAGTCAGATTGATAAGAGTTCATGATTTCTAAAAATAAGAATGTGGGCATTCATTATATGATTGTCTAATCTGACATGTGTTTAAAATTCTTTTTTTTTAAAGGAAACTTTTTTTTTTAAGAGAGAGAGAGAATTTTTAATATTTATTTTTTAGTTTTTGGCAGACACAACATCTTTGTTTGTATGTGGTGCTGAGGATCGAACCCGGGCCACACGCATGCCAGGCGAGCGCGCTACCGCTTGAGCCACATCCCCAGCCCTAAAATTCTTTATAATAGTTTTTAAAAGAAAAAATAAGAAATGATATAAAGTAGAAGCAACTCTGCATAGAATTAAGATCACTAGATAAGTTCAACAACAGCTATCATTTACAGTGTCAATATATTAAGCACGGTATTAAGTATTACATATATTACATAATTTAATTCAATACATTAATTTTTGATTTCTGTAAACTGATTCCAGGAATTGAAAGTACTTTTATGGTAGCCATGTGACAAGTTGATCAGCTTTTTTCTAACAATTCCTATTGATACTAGAGTAATCTATTTCACTTTGAAAACATGTCACAAAAATCAGCTAACTAAAAATAATTAGATCATCAACAGATTAATGGTTAAATAAAGCACAATATCATCAAACAGAATATTAAAGCAACAAAAATAATGAACTGTGAGATGTGTACATTTTACAGTAAGAACTGTAACAAAATAAGCCATATATAGAATATCTACAGTTATGATTTTATTCCTGAGAAGTTCAAAAATGGGAGAAAAGAATTTATGATAAGAGGTTCAGAATAATAGTTACTTGAGGGGATAAAAATTAACTGAGTGAGAGAACAAAGAGGGATGCTCTATATCTTCATCTGGGTGGTGGGAATATGAATATCAAGTAGTAGCTCAAAAAGAAACCATAAAAAAAGGTATTAACTTCACAAGAAAATGAGACCTAAAAATCAGAATTTCCCCTATATTTAGAGATTTAAAATAGAAATCTCAAAATAATCTTAAGATTTTAAAAGCTTGCTACTGAAGTTTTTGAATTTTTCTAACAAAAAGCTCACATTCAGCCTTATGTTAGTATTCCTCTACTAATTACTCAAAATAAAAATACTCATCTATTTCTAAACTATAAAGTAAAAGGTTTACACATTTAGCTCCTTTAGTGAACACACACTTACATAAACTGACTCATGTCAGTAGAGAAGACACTAAAAGATGATACAAACTGCTGCTCTTCTACTTCTCTCAGCTAGCATATCATCTTTGCAGGTATATAGGTTGAGGGAAAGTATTCAAATCTATCCCATTATTGGTTTTCCTTCTTTACTTACATCTCATGGGAAAAGATCAGTATGTGATCCCCCAAATCAGACACTATGTAATATAATTTCTGATTAACAGAATAAGGTGACTTATATCAGAAATTCTATATGAAAACTCTATAAGTTAAAATGCATAAAGATAATTTCACCACAGAAGCCAGTAACTAGGTATATAACCTTCCTGAGGTCATCAGAACCTTTCCACCGCTTCAGTGCCTCCTCCAGAAAGGGGGAGTTCTGTTAGTTCCACGATTGTGAATGACAAATGTAGGCTGCTACTCCTCCTCTAACAGTCACTAATTTGACCAGAGATGGAATCAGAAATGCTACCTGAGGTGAAACTTTTCTGTCATTCCTAGACAAGCAATCTAAGCTTCTTTCCCCTTCTAACATTCTACTTACTATCTGTGACCTACTTGGAATCAAATACATTTACAGTGAACAGCTCAGAAACAGATAAATATGAAATACACAAGAAGTTAAGGAGTTAAAAAACATCAAAATTCTTTAATATCTTCCAAATTATAGATTTTTTTAAAAATATGCCACTATTTATACATTTTCTATTTCATATATTAAGCTCTAGAAAATAAGTCTAAATGAAAAATCGTTAACATTCCATTCCTAATTTCCTAAACACATAAAATGTCATTCATTAATATGAACTACCTTCTTGATACTCAGGCATACCTGAAAAGGTCTAAAGAGATACCTATAAAAAGACTTTAGTAAAAAGCTTCTTGGGAAACCAACTGGGAAAGTTTACCTTATTTCAAGGCAAACTCAGATTTACACAGAACTTAAAAAGATGAACACTCAGATAATTACATAATTCTGTTAAAAGTTTTATTTCTAGTGGCTTATGTCAAAAATTCCTGTAAGGCCACCTATCCTAAGTGTTCCACTCCAAAATTTTCAAATCCTTCTTCTTGGTCCCTATCAAACTTAATCCCTCCCACTTGACTCCAGCTTTTAGAAAAACACTAAGTCAAGTGGTTTTTATTTTTTGTTTTGTGTTTGACTTTGAAAGTCAAAGTCAGGGAGAACATAGTAAATATTTAAAAGCAAAAGTGTGTAGAGGGAGGGAGATTCATCCGGCAAACAGACATCAACAACACACAGTAGCATTAAGTACTGGAGACAGGATAATCAATGTAAGTCCCACCACTAACAAAAAGGTAAACCAGCCAGAAAACTGAAGTAATATTAATAAAACGTGCCATGAGAGCTGGGAAGAGAATTAACAAACTTGGACATCAAGAAAGGCCTACTATGAAAAGATTAGCAAAGAATAGGATATTTGAGAATAACATGACATACTAGGAGAAGAGCAAACACTACAGTATACTTGATGTAAGGATGCAAGCAGTAAGGCTCAGATACCATGGAAGGCCATAGAAGCCACTCTAAGGAATTGGACTTTATTCACTAAAAGTGACTTATTTGAGAAACACAAGTATACTTTTGCAAGTTTCTATCAGAAAACTTCACTAACAGTAAAAGTATCTAGGAAGATGAAAGTGAAGAAATAATAAAAAGGGAGACAAGATAAGTAGTACTTCCAATATTTTCAGGATACACTCAAACATGTTGGACTACTACTATACTGCCTAGAATATAGAGGTTCAAGCATATGCATCAATATGTATTATGTCCCAAAAGGAACAACAGAGATAAAGAAGAATCAAGAGCTCAAACTTACATTACTGTCTTAATAGAGAAGTCTAATTAAAGAACTATATTTCTGTAAAATTAAAGAAACAATACTTGTTTTATATATATATGTGTGTGTGTATATATATATATATATGTATGTATATATATATATATATGTATATATATATATTTTTTTTAAATAACTGGTTGGCAGTTATTTGTTTTGATTAGGTTCAACTTAAAAGACACTATTCACCTTGTTATACATATATCTAAGCATGAAGTCCAGCAGAAATGATTTCCCTTTACGAAAAGCTCCTGCCACAGATACCACAACTATGTTAAGATCTCGTATGTGCTCCTGTAGCAGTATCTGCTCCAAAGCTTCTTCATCAAGCTCAAAGTTATGGTCATCTTCATGAGCAAGGACAATCTGTACTGGACATGGTTTCTTCATAACCTCAGAGTTTACTAGGTCATCATCTTCATAATCCTCCCCTAGAATTTTAAAAAGAAAGAAAGAAATTACTTTATTCCCTGTATTACAAAACTTTTCATTAAGAACCACATCTACAGCCAAAGTTCAAATGCACCCCCCACCACCCGTTCTCATCTGAGAATAATTTAATAAAGAGAGAGTCAAGTACTTTTGGACTTCCCGCTCCTTCTGTAATAGGACAAAGAATGCTGGTCACATTTACCCCTTGAGCACTGCATCCTTCTGTAAAGGCTTTTTGCTACTGTATGCACCAAGAAAATACAAACTGACAGGGAATAAAATCAATTTTTCCTGATACTTCAGATTCCAATTTTCCCTGGAAAATTATTCTACATTACAAAGACTAAAACATATATATGAATTTTGAATGTTGGAATTTTGAATATATGAATTCATTCTGGAATTTAAAGGGCAAAGATAAGGTTCTAAGAAGCTTCCAAAAATGCCACCATAAAGCTAAGTCCCTAATTTTGTAAGAGTAACCTAATATGGCTGAGGATATAGCTCAGTGGTAAAACACTTGCCTAGCATTCATGAGGCTCTGGGCTCAATCCCCAATACAAAAAAAAAAGTAACCTAGTAGTATAGCCGTTATTAAATTCTTTATAAAGGAAGTCAACAACACTATTTCAAAATGTGCTACAAACAATGACAATGCATTATAGAGAGAAAGAAACTTACAGAAGCAAAATTTGGGGAAGTAAAAGAAATCAATATTTAATTAAAGAAGATATTATCACTGTTTCATTGTCATACCACTATAGCCAAATATGTTATTTAAATGCACAAAAAGTTGGGGCTGGGGAGGTGGCTCAGTGGTAGAGTGCTTTCTTAGCATGCGTGAGGTGCTGGGTTTGTTACCCTAACCACATTTTAAAAAAATAAAAATAAACTAATAAAATAAAGGTATTGTGTTCATCTACAACTTAAAAAAAAAATTCAAATAAATAAATAAATGCACAAAAAGTTGACTTTCCAGGAAAGACACAATACAGTTAAATTCCAAGTTAATATATCATTAGAAAGTCCAGATAAACAATAAAACAGTATGCAAATTGTGATTAAAAGCTTCCAATCTTAGTCAATGGTTAAGATCACAAGCCAGAGGGCAAAACTGCCTCAGGGAATGTCACAGCTTCTCTGTTTTCTCATCTGTAAAATGGGGATCATAACAGCACCTCCCTCACAAAGTTGTCATCAGGATTACATAAATTGAAACATATATGGTACATAATAAGTTTATATAACAGTAGTTTTAAAATAACCAATCCAACAGGAGAGGCTTTAATTTACACCTTGAAATGCCAAAACACTACAGTAATTTTCATCTGCCCCGTAGCTATGTACTACACCACCATATACCCATTTGCTCAGGCACAAATCTGAGAGCTGTCCTTGAAACACCTCTCCTTTCCATTACTCCTAAATTTAATCAATAGCCACATTCTTAACTTCACCTTCATGTCACAATTTCTGTTGATAGCATCTCTATTCCCATCACCACTACTTTGACCCACTTAGACTGTAGTACCCAACTGCTCTCTGTCATTAAGGCACTTACTCCCTTCCCCTAAACCAATTCAACCTCCAGAGTAGGAAATAAATAATGTAGTCAAATGTAAATTTGATTGTTACTCTCTTTCTTAAAATCACTGTTACAGAAGACTAATGATTAAAATCCTATACACGCCTTACAAGATCCTGTACATGCTACCAATCTCTGGCTGCATTGGTGCTACTTTCCCCTCTTTAAACGAAACTAGTCTTTTTTTTTTTTTTTTTAGATACTTATGCCATTAAGTTCTCTCTAGACTCAGACTTTACTTGTGGCATTTCTCTGCCTGGAATACTCTTTCCCATGGTGTTCCCCTAATCAATTCATATTTATTCATTAATTCTCAGTTTAAATGTCATTTCCCAAGAACAATAATCTTCCCTGAGACTCCTAACCAAGTTTAGTCCTTCTATATTAATACAATATTTTAATATTTATGTAAGTACATATTTATTATGTCTCCCCTTCTATAGTGCCAAACCACTGCTTGAAACTCAATTATTATCGTCCCACTATAACCAGAGTATTAAGAAAAACAAGCCAAAAAAAAACAAAAAACACCCATGCTCTAAGTTCCTTACCACAACCTCCACAGTACCATGTGATCTGACTCCTGCCTCCCCTCTTATTTCTTATTACACACCCCTGTTCATTCCCAAAGCCCTGGGCCATTTGGACTTCTTCTTGTTCTTTTAACAGGATAAACCCATTTCCCACCTTAGAATCTTTGCCCAAAACTTTTACCTCTGAATGGAATGCTCTATCCCTAAAAATTCACGTGGTATCTTACCTCCGCCCCACCCCAGGCCTCAGTTCAAATGTTATCTCCTCTGTGTGGTCTTCCCTGTCCACTCAATCCAAATAGTGACCCCATCCCTAACACTTTAAAGGGTTTTTTTTCATAGTCCTTTTCAATATCTAAAATAACCCTTTTACATTTATTTACATTTGTATCTTCTAGTGTTCAACACTAATCATCTTGTTGATCACTCATTCTATCTTCCAGTACCTTAATCAATGCTTAACACTTAGCCTAGAAGATGCTTAATACTTTTTGAAAGAATATATTTAAGCATTTCACTCAGAAGTCTTACATCTACCATTATCTATTTTAGAAGCAAATGTAATAATTAATTAGTTTGGGGAAATCAAAGCAAGTCAAGAGTAGTTAAGGGTATTGACCACAAAATTACAATGAAAACTGATGGTTCCACAAAGTAAAACACTTTGATTTAAAGGAACTTAAAATTAGTAAGTACTAAAATATCACAACAACCAAATGTGGAGATTGGTGATTTTGTAAAAAACCAACAATTTTGTTCTTGTTGTAAAGAAAGCATTAGTTTTCTTTTTTCCTTAATTGAAAAAGAGAGGGGGGGAAAACCCTAGGAAGAAAGCCTTTATTAACATAAAAATTTACCTGGATTAGTTAGCTATAGTTACCTTGTGGCTAAGTTTTTTTCATAGACATGAATAAAGATATGCACCTCAGATAAACACATACAGAGGCTAAAGACTTTTTAAAATGCAAGTGTGGCAAAAATGTTTCAAAGGTATCATGGAAAACACAATGATGTGATTCACCTACCTTAACTCCATGATGATATCTCCACCATATTTGGCATAAATAAACATAAAATATTTCATCAAACACTGATAAAGGCAACTGAATAAAAGAGAACTATAGGTAAATTTCATTAGAATACCTGTAAATATCAGCATCTGGTGATTACCTACAATTACAAGTCTCTGAATTTAGTATTAACCTAATACTTTAAATGTCAATTAAGTCTTGTGTATAGAATACTTATTATATTTCCATTCTTATATGCCAAAGTACCGGAACGAGTAGATTTCAGTCCTACAGTATTTTTCCTGATTCAGTTCCAAGTCATTTCTCCCTACTCAGCGCCAAAGTGGGTCTTTCAAGGTTAAAGCTAAAAGACAACTAGATGATTGCCAGTTTCTCAAATCTCTCTCTCTCCTTACCTTAGCACTAAGTATATCTAATAATCTATTCATCACAAGTCCTACAAAAAGGCACCTATCTTTAAAAAGACCCATGGTTGCCAGGATTAAGGGAGAGGGAAAGATGAATTACAATTTTTTTAGGGCACAGAAATGAATTCTCTATGATACTATAATGGTGGATACCTGATGTTATACATTTTCCAAAAACCCACTGAATACGCAACCTCAAGAGTGAACCCTAGGGGGCTGGGGATGTGGCTCAAGCGGTAGCATGCTCGCCTGGCATGCGCGCGGCCCAGGTTCGATCCTCAGCACATACAAACAAAGATGTTGTGTCCGCCGAAAACTAAAAAATAAATATTAAAAATTTTCTCTCTCTTTCTCTCTCTCCCTAAAAAAAGAATGAACCCTAATGTGAACTATGGACTTCGATAATAATAATGTGTCAGGGAAGATTAATCAATTTTAACAAATGAACTACTCTCATGCAGGATGCTGGTAGTAGAGGAAGGAGGAGGAATGTGAGAACAGTACTTTCTGCTCAATTTTGCTATGAATCTAAAATTGCTCTAATAAAATAAAATCTACTTTTTTTAAAAGACACCTGTCTTTTTACTGTTTAATCATACTTCATCTTAAATCTGTCAAATTCATACATTCAACATGGATTCCAACAGCAAAATTTACACTTTAGAGCTGACCTAGATCTGTCAGCAAACCTCAAGCATAATTTTTAGATAAGACAATAAAATGGTGCTACAAATCTGCATTACAATAAACTGTTACTAATATTAGATTACATCAACTCAAAACTAAACTTACAAGAAGAGAACAAAGTAAAAATCAATTTGCTTTTCAGAAGCAATTAAAGTGTATTTTAGGTTATTATTCATATTTCAAACAGAAATCTCAAATTTTTATGGAAAGTAACCTTAATTCTGTCTACTTAGTCCATTTATAAAACCAGTTATCTGAAAGAAAGCAAAGTAATGTTTTAGAGTCCAGTACTAAGACCTAAACTTTTATAACATATATTCAAATGAAAATAGAGCTAAGCATTCAATAGTTCATTCTAGCACATATTTTTAAAAACCTTAAAGAGGTTACATCAAGGTCCACCTTTTTTTAATATTTATATTTTAGTTGTAGTATTTCATTTTTATGTGGTGCTGAAGATCGAACCCAGTGCCTCACACGTTCTAGGCAAGCACTCTACTACTGAGCCATAACCCCAGCCCTAGGTACACCTATTTCTAAGAATTTATTTTAAAGGAATAAACAAAAATACTAACAAAGATGTACAAGTTTACCAGTGTTATTTCTGGTAGTTAAGATTAATGCTGAGTATCTCAAAAATGGAAAGTGGCTGAACTTTGAGCCATATTACACAGCTTTAAAAACACTCTTAATAGGAGTGTTTTTTTTTTTAATTAGTAGGAAAAAGGTAGATTACAAATATAGATTATCCCCAGT